AGCGCTGAAACGGCCCAGCAGCGTCTGAATCAGGGACACCTGGGGCAGAGCTGGACTATTGGAGGGGGGGCTATGAGGGGTCTGGGGTGGCATCCTCCCCACCCCAGATCCCTCATAGCCCCCCCTTCCGATAGTCTGGCAAATCTGATAATCTGGCACCCCCTGGGTCCTAAAGGTGCCAGATTATCGGACGTTTACTGTACTTCAAATTCTGCTTTGCAAGGCATAAATGACATAGTTCTTCTTGCTTTCAAAAGTGATTTAAATACATAGTCTGAGTTCCATGAACTGTCATTAAGACTTCATCTCATATGCAAATTTAGGCTCTCCAGTTCATGCCCACATTATCCATGCAGGGGAGTTACAGCACTTTCACACACAAGGCTATTCACACCACCTTCATCCAAACTACAGGACAGGCTGATATGCCTTTAGTCTCTTTTGATAATTAGATTCTGTCATTTATGCCTTGCAATGCTAAGTAGAGCAGTGCCTAAATATCATTAAAAATCTGGGCACTACCCTGACTCCATTCCTCTTTTGTAAAATGGTAATACCTTCTTACCTCACAGGGACGCTGAGAGTAAATACATTTGCTCCTGAGGCACTCATATATTACTGTGGTGGGGGCCATACGAGTATCTAATATAAGACAGAATTGTGCTTAGTTTTAACTCCAAGTCAAATGACTTAAACCTAGTTTAATCATACTTGATTCAAACTCGTGACTTGGCAAATCAAACATTGGTATGTGGCCTACATTGGAAGAATGAAAAAGGACAATTATCATACTCTAGATACAATTCCAATAGCTTGCTGTGCTGTTCAGCCCCATCTCAGCTCTTAGGGGAAACCCTTCTAAGTATGGAGGTGGGGCCGAACAGCACACAAAGAATTGAAAGTACTCACACTATATAAAGCTGACTGGAACCAAATATTGAGCATACAATACTTAAGCTATTGGAATTGCACTCTTTGCTGAAGTGCCAACAAAGGAATTAGTTTGCAATGCCACTTCATAATTGGACTGAACTACTCATTTCATCTAGGACAAAGAGCTAGTGGCTCTTAGCTATTATGAACCTCCACTAAACTTGGAAATATGTAATATAGATCCTTAATGCTATATCTCTGTATCTTAGTTAACTGAACCTGTGCACTTTGTAAACTTAAGCAATGTGTTAATAGGATATGCATGCAAAAAAGACAACTGTTCATTTGTTGGGAAAACATGGACAGAACATCTAAAACATGTGAAAGACAGTCATGCAGGTAAGCTCAGTTAAAACTTGCTTTTACAGTTCTATATAACTGCTTACGTTCAGTCCCCTAGTATATTAAATAAAAACCCAAATACTAACCTAAAGGGAAATTTAACTACAGTTTTTACCACGCTGAATTTTAATACAATTCTGACTAGTCTGTAATGAGAAAAATACTAAAGTCTCTAGTTTGTCCACTGATGTGATCGTGTAATAAGAAACTATAACCTATTAAACGAAATACCAGATGCTAGATTATTCATATGGGAACATGAAATACTCCCTGAATTTTCTGCAGTTAGTTAACATGAATTGCAGACTCTCTCATTCTAAAGGACTGACTTTGAGAGAATCAGAAACATCACTTCATTTTTAGTAAGTTGCCTTGTTCTTGTCTTTCACCTAGAGCCAGTAGTCTGTGATGTTTGTTCTAAAACATTCAAACGCAAAGATTACCTCAGACAACATCAGAAAACCCACGCTGAAGAAAGAGAAGTATGTCGATGCCCAAGAGAAGGCTGTGAGAGAACTTACACAACTGTGTTTAATCTTCAGAGTCATATTCTTTCATTTCATGAGGAGAAAAAACCATTTTTTTGTGATTATGCTGGATGTGGAAAAGTGTTTGCAATGAAAGTAGGTATTATAGACTGCCTTGAAATCCAGAATATCCTTCCTTGGGTCATGCCAACATAATTTTCTTCTCAATTGCAGCAAAGTCTCACAAGACATTCTGTTGTACATGATCCTGACAAAGGAAAGCTGAACTTAAAAGTAAGTCAAATATTCTGAAATATCTCCGAGCCATTTCGTTTCACTTAAACAAAGAGTAAATTAACACATACAAGTATGTAAAGTACCTTTTAGATAACCTAGCTTATACTTAGCTGCTCCTGAATTTAAATACTGTAAAGGAGGGCAAAGATTAATTTTGAATACAGGCAGTCCCTGGGTTACGTACAAGATAGGGACCGTAGGTTTGTTCTTAAGTTGAATTTGTATGTAAGTCGGAACTGCCGTCCAGATTCAGCCGCTGTTGAAACTGATCAGTGGCTGATTCCAGGAAGTCCAGGGCAGAGCAGCTCTGCCTTGGGCTTCCTGTAGTCAGCCGCTGGTCAGTTTCAGCAGCGGCTGACTTGGGGACATCTGGGGTAGCGCAGCTGGGGTGCTGCTGGGTTGGTCCCGCAGCGCCGCTCCTCGGTGCTACTGGACCAACCCAGCAGCCCCCCAGCTGCTCTACCCCAGATGCCCCCAAGTCAGCTGCTGCTGAAACTGATCAGCAGCTGATCCCAGGAAGCCCCGGGGCAGAGCAGCTGAGGTGCTGCCCGGTAGGTCCCCGGAGCACCGCACGTCAGCGCTGCAGGGACCAACCCAGCAGCCCCCCAGCTGCTCTACCCCAGATGCCCCCAAGTCAGCTGCTGCTGAAACTGATCAGCAGCTGATCCCAGGAAGCCCCGGGGCAGAGCAGCTGAGGTGCTGCCCGGTAGGTCCCCGGAGCACCGCACGTCAGCGCTGCAGGGACCAACCCAGCAGCCCCCCAGCTGCTCTACCCCAGATGCCCCCAAGTCAGCTGCTGCTGAAACTGATCAGCAGCTGATCCCAGGAAGCCCCGGGGCAGAGCAGCTGGGGCCCCCCCCAGCAGACTAGGGAGACGCGGAGCAGCTTTTCTCGCCGCGAAGGACGGGGGCGGCGGGACCGCCATGGCGCGTCTCGGCAGTCTGCTGGGGGGGCGGGGGCACAGCTAGGGCGGGGTTCCCTCACCCCGTTCGTAAGTAGGGATCCGACATATGTCGGATCCACGTAACCCAGGGACTGCCTGTATTCAGATCAGGTTTTTAATCTATAAATAGGAAGGTTCCTAACCTCTGTACTGTGAATCTTTCATAAGGCAAAACAGCCTCGTCCTAAACGGAGTCTGGCCTCTCGTTTGAGTGGATATATTCCTCCTAAAGGACGACGACGACGAAAGATTGAAGAGGCAACAGAAAATGGGGCTCTGAATAAACCTGTAGAAAATGAGTTACCGACTGTTGAAACACTCACTCTACATTAAAGACTTCTGGAGACAACTTTGGTTAATTTTGACAGTTGCTTTATCATCACATTGGTCAGTTTATGTAAAAAGCTGGATATTTTGTTTTGTAATCACTTCTGGTGTTTGGGTAAAGTCACTGCAATTCATTGGATTCAGTAGTTTCATTTTCACTCTTGTTTGGAGTGTCTTTTTGTTTTTGTTTTTCTGTTTTCTTGTATTCATTAACTTCTTTGTCTGACATGTGCCTCAAAACACATGTACTTCTTCCTTCTCTAATGACTTTTGGCTGGGATAGGTAAGTAGCTTTCGCAGGCATAGTCTCAACAATCTGGTCAAAAAAAGCTAGCTGAAAATAAGGAAAATAAAAATTCTGATTATACGAACAATGGTATTTAAGCAGGACACTTCTAATAATTCTTCAGAGTAAGTGAAGAGAAATTAAAATGTTATGTCTGTTCTACCTCTGGCAATTTCTTACAGTAATCTGATACACTCTTAACACTGCTGCACTTCTGGTCCAAAGTAGACCAAATCACTTTTGTCTTCTCCTAGCTTTCCTCTACTCATCACCATATAGTAAGTGAGACTTTTAAAGTGGTTCAGCCACTACCAAATCTCTCCATTTCCAGGAAGCAGTTGCAATGGTAAAATTAAATTGAACATTCTCCGTTAGACATATTATCTTTCCACTTGATTCTTCAGTATAATCATAATGTGACCATGAAATCCTTTAATCGAAAAGTTAGCTGTACAGCTACTGTTATAAGCTCTACTAGTGAGTGAAGGAAAACACTTATGAAACAATGAGTAGCCCTGTGGCACCTTAGGTTTTGTCTATACTACCCCCCTAGTTCAAACTAGGGGGGGGTAATGTAGTCATACGGAGTTGCAAATGAAGCCCGGGGTCTGATTTCCCGGACTTCATTTGCACAAAGCCGGCCGGCGCCATTTTTAAATGCTGGCTAGTTCAAACCCCATGCCGCGCGGCTACACGCAGCACGGACTAGCTAGTTCGGATTAGGCTTCCTAATCCGAACTAGATGTACTCATCGTGGAATGAGGAGTACAGCTAGGTCGGATTAGGAATTATGCAAATGAAGCCCGGGAAATTCAAACCCCGGGCTTCATTTGCAACTCTGTATGACTACATTTCCCCCCCCTTCCCCAGTTCGAACTAGGGGCGTAGTGTAGACATACCCTTAGAAACTAACAAAAAAAAAAACACTATTCGCTTTCATGGGCAAAACACACTTCTTCAGATGAGATGATCTCGAGTCTCTCATCTGATGAAATAAGCTTTTGTGGGCAAAACCTATGATACTATAATGTCAAGTAAGGGAGAGGTAGCCATGTTAGTCTGATCTTGGTAAAACAAAAAAAAAGCAGTCATGTAGCACTTTAAAGACTAACAAGATGGTTTATTAGGTGATGAGCTTTCGTGGGGCAGACCCACTTACATCTTTCGTGGGATCTGTCCCACGAAAGCTCATCACCTAATAAACCATCTTGTTAGTCTTTAAATCTCTAAGGTTCCACAGGACTACTAACACCACTACCCCTTTGAGTCTTATGAAATAGGTTCTCCACTTCTGATATTTTGTAACTTTTCAGGGGGTAATCTGAAGGTCAAATTAAGTTATAATGATGAAATGGTGTAATGCACAATACTGTTTTGTACCTGCACAAGTGGAGAGAGATCTATTCTCTCACAGATTTAAAGAAATGCTTTTAAAAGTATCAATAAAACGTTTCCCCTTCTATATTAAATCACTAATATTTACACCCACAAATAATTGGGTTGAATGAGACATTAAGTCCTGCTATCCTAAATTAGCAAATACGCCCACCCTGATCAGCTGTAAATCACTGCAAAATAAGGTGTACTGAAACAAAAGGAATCATGTGCTATTCAAAGCCACCTACTTTGTCCTAAGTGGAATTACCAAAGAAGGTAACTCAGAAGTGGGGAGACAAATTAGATGCTTTATATTTGTCAGTAAGGTGACTGAGCTCACTTGCATGCATGTTTGTGAAAGAGATAATGGGCTGAGACTCAGATTATAAGGCCAGAAAGGACCTTTGTACTCCTCTAGTCTGACCTTTGGTAGAACAAAGGACACGGAATTTGCATATCTTTTCATAAAAATGGCTATACTGGATCAGACCAAAGGTCCCATCTTTTCATAAAAATGGCTATTCTGGATCAGACCAAAGGTCCATTTAGCCCAGTATCCTGTCTGCCAACAGTGGCCAATGCTAGGTTGCCACTGAGGGAGTGATCAGAACAGGGAATCATTTGATTCTCTCCTGTCATCCATTTCCAGCCTCTGTCAAACAGAAACTAGGGACATCTTTCCTACCCATCCTGGCTTATAGTCATGGATGGACCTTATCCTTCATGAATTTATCTGGTTCTTTTTTGAACCCTGTTCAACTCTTAACTAATGTTAAACTAGAAATGCTGGGTGGTGGTGAAAAGGGTTACAGTCTTAAATTTATCATTTCCAGTCACTCAATCCTCATTTTTCAGATTAATCAGTTTGGTCAAGGTCTGCCTGTCTCGGATAAGGTGGAGTACAACTCAGCTTCTTAACAAATAAGGCTGAATTCCACCACTAACTTGCCCACAAAGTGGATGAATTCCTAAAATTCTAAAAAAATGTCAAAAAATTCATTCTTAATTTGCTACTGATGAAGAATCTACTGTAACTCTTGCTAAATTTTTCCAGTGTTTTAGCTACTCACAGTTATGGCTCAGGTCCAGTCTAAATTTGTTTCAACTTTGTTGTATTCTAGATTTATTATATAGTAGAATGCAGTGCTAAAACCTTTCTAGTGTGTGAGATTTACTTGTGTAAGTGCATTGTTCAAACTATCTCAGTGAAGGGACAATTAGTCCTGAAGGCTGATATCTATTGAAATAGCATAGATAAGTTGAAATAGCTTCAGTTAGAAGGAAGCAGGTTTTGCTCTTTGTACTGTCATAACCATCGCTTTTTGCTAGTAGGTGGTATACTGTCAAAGGAAGAAAACTGTATTGTATCTGGAAACAGTTACCACTAGTTGACTTATCAAAAGCTTTAACAAACCTTAATAGCTTACCATCTTTTCTGGCCCATCTGCAACATTCTTTTGCTGTACAGAAATTCTAACATGATGCTTTTTATCAATCCACTGCTGAATCTGTCTAATTTTGGTCTCTAAGTCATGTTTTGCAATAGCTGCGGAAAAAGTTAACTCCTTCAGCTGAACAGGTCCTGTTAAAATATAACCAATATATAGGCTTCTAAGAGTTTGGTAGTGTTGTGAACCCCCTCATTAATGCACTGAGGATACTAGGAGTTTCATTGTTTTAGGGGGAGGGGAGGAAAAGTACAGGTCAGATAAGTGTCTTAATTTCCGAGAACCCATCTTGCCTACTCCATTAACCGTTCCCTGTCTTATGTTTATTGTTCTTTTTGCATCACTCACAATATCCTATGTACTGGAATCTCTATCCCTAGAGGTTTTTAAGTCTCAGCTTGACAAAGCCCTGGCTGGGTTGATTTAGTTGGGATTGGTCCTGCTTTGGGCAGGGAGCTGAACTTGATGACCTCCTGAGGTCTCTTCCAGCTCTAAGATTCGATGTCCTCTAATCTCGCTCATTATCATGCCTCCTCCTATGCTGTTCCTTACGCTTGGAACATCTTCCCTCTACCATTATGGCAGGCCTTTCCTCCTCCAACATCCCTCTTACAAAGTAGCCTTTTCAATAAGGCTCAGAACTCTCAACCAATATTAAACTAGAAATGCAGGGTGGTGGTGGAGAGGGTTACAGACTTAAATTTATCACGTCCAATCACTCAATTCTTGTTTTTCATATTAATCAGGTTTGGTCAAGGGCTACCTGTCTCGGATAAGGTGGAGTACAACTCAGGTTCTTAACAAATAAGACTCAATTCCACCATAGACTTGCCCACAAAATGGATGAATTCCTAATTATTTTTTTTTGAAAAAAATAAGACTGCCCATTGTATAGTTAAGTGGGAAAACTTAGTCATCACCCCTCTACTCTGATCTCCATTCTGTTTCAAAAGATCACACAGCTTTAAATTCTATTAGAAATAAGAGTCCTTGTAAGACCATAACTACAATTCATTCTCTTCCCATCCTCACTGCATGCTCTGAAATATCCAATAATACTGACTTTTTTTGTTTTAACAAGAGCTAATCAAAACTGTCACAGTGGTACTACTGCTGTAGCTCGCTTGTCTCAAATCAGTATTAACTAGCAGAAAGTTTCTAAAATGTGAAGAATTTCTTAATTTGTATGTCCTGTCTTGTGTTGTTCTCAAACAGCCAGACATCACTATATACACACACACCTCAGTAAGTGCTCCCTCTTGCCACTTTATCAGCTCGATAATTTAAACTACAGGTACAGAATGATTTCTGGTTATTTTATATCAAAAAGAATAAGGGTCCATTTGAAGCACTTAAATACTAGGGATGTTAAAAAGTGGGTAATCGGGTAACCATGTAACTGATGAATATTTCAGTGGTTACATGCGCCTTCGGGTAATCGGGTAACCATGTAACTGCTGAATATTTCAGTGGTTACATGCGCCTTCATTATGGGGTGGCAGCCGACTCCCTGGTGCTCCCTGTCTGCCACTCCACTCCTGGAGAGCTGGCTGCCACCCTGCGCTGGTGCCTCTGAAACAGAGCCAGCAACCCAGGGTGGCAGCTGGATCCTTGGGAGTGGGGCAGGAGCCTCCGTGTAACTGTTTACAGTAACTGATAAGCCCAGGCTCTTTTATGTTGAACAATATTATGAGATGTCAGAAAAAAACATGCTTTTTATGGCATATTCAGTTAGTCATTTATAAGTTATCATTAATAAAAACTAATGGTCTATTAAAAAAACCAAATTCAATGTGAATGCCATGCTACTGGAATCTAGATCATTCATTAAGTATTCAAACAATATCAAAAGCCAAAATATAAACAGAGCACAATAAATTCATTTATAAGTATTCAAACAATACCAAAAGCCAAAATATAAACAGAGCACAATACATTAACTAAATGTAAAATTAAGTAGACTAAACCAATTTTTTCTTTTTCCAAATGCAAATCCAAAATAACATTGATTGAGATGGCAGTACTCTGGATTTACATTGATGTAACAAACGGAATTAGTGGCAGTAGATCAAATCCTAATACATCACTTTTCAAAGAGTTTAATGTCATAGTAAGGCACATACCAGTTTTTGAATGTGCTTTTTCTTTCTCTCTAAGTTTGAGCTGCTCTTCATGAATCTGCTTCCCAGTCATCAGTCTGTATACTGGAGGGTCTTCATTTTCACGCAGTGGAACAAGCTTCAAATCAGTTTTATTCATGAGTTGAATCACATCTCCTCTGTGCATATTTCCCAAGCTATCCCCATTTTCATTGATTACATGAAGAATTGGATAAGGAATTTTCCTCCCAATACTTCCAAATGTTTTGGGGGCATTTAGGTTTTTTTTCTTTCCTTGTGTCTTTTTAGCTTCTTCAGATGTACAAAATGATTTTGTGGGTATAAACATAGGTCTCTGGTTAGCACCAGCCATCACCATCAGTGTTTGAGAGAATGTTGTCTTTTGCATGATTAGCACCACGCGAATATCAAAGTATCTATTTATGCAACTAGTTTCATTCCTTGTGGCTTGATGTAGTAATTTCCTTAGGCAAAGAGCAGCCATTCTGAGAAAGTGGGGGAAAAAAGAAAAAAAACTTCTGGTCCTTAGTTAAAAAGGCCTAGGTCAAGGAAGGCAGCCCTAATTCTTAAACTATCCTTTTGTTTTGCAAAATCATGTTGATTTTGATTTAATAAGATAAGGTTCACGGAGTTTAGTGACCCCACAATAATGTGCTCATACTACAGAGAGAAAGGGATCAGCAGGGAAACTACTTCAAGGTTCTGAAGGATTATTACAAGTAGTTTCCCCCTAATATTTTAAAATTTGGGGTCTAAAAGTTCTGTGAGCTAGGGTAGGTGGTGTTTTTAAATTAAGTTTCAACATTTGAAGACACATCTACAAATGAAGGAAGTTGGATGGAAAAATCTGACAGACACACACCTCTGTCCTGGTACTGTTGGCATACTTCTTGATAAAATATTTTCTGGATTATTACAAGTAGTTTCCCCCTAATATTTTAAAATTTGGGGTCTAAAAGTTCTGTGAGCTAGGGTAGGTGGTGTTTTTAAATTAAGTTTCAACATTTGAAGACACATCTACAAATGAAGGAAGTTGGATGGAAAAATCTGACAGACACACACCTCTGTCCTGGTACTGTTGGCATACTTCTTGATAAAATATTTTCTTTTTGCTTATACTACACTGACTCAGGCCCACCTAGACACCCAAGAGAAGTTGATGTCTATACATCAGATATTGGGTAAGTTCTTAGAAGTTCATGTCCCTGAGGTTTACAGGACGCTTGAAATTTGAAAGAATGAAATGTCCATGCATAAACTTTGCACATGTGATTAAAATCCAACTATTACCATATTTATCGTCAGCCCATAGCGAGGAACATACATCTGAGGGTTGAAATTGTATATTTAGTATACAATGTATTTTGTACATCACTGACTCAAAACAATTGTTTATTTTCCTCAAAGTATGAGTTATACAAACTTAATCCTATATAAGCAACCAAAGAAAGATACTTAGCAGTTTTGCTGTTGTATGGGTTAAGTCCTATGATCATTTCAGTAACTAAACTAGAACGCTCTGCCATCTCTAAGTTCAGAGAAATATGCAGAAATATTAGAGCACAGTTGCATCTGTATTAGTAATTTAATTTTGTCAAGCTATAATATTTTCACAGAAGTTGAAAATAAAGATTTGCTGTTGGTAGTGTTTAAACATGTCCACAATCTTGTTGTTGAATATAGTGCAGTGGTGGACAGCCCATGGCTTGCATGTGGCCCATCAGGGTTCTACATGCGGCTTGCACACTCCCCTTCTGCCACTCCATGCCTCTCACACTGTGGGCCCTAAACTTACCTACTCTTTCTGATCCTTCCCAGCACTTCTGGAGCACTGTGAATCAGTCGATATGCAGCATTCAAGCTCTGGGAGGAGCAGGGTGGGAGTGCAAATCAGTCAATTCATAGTGCTCCAGAAATGCTGGGGAAGGAGGGAGGGGGGAAGAGAGAAGGGACAGGGTGTGCTTGGGGTAGGAGGCAGGGAAGAGGTCAGGTGAGATTTTGAAGGCAGGGATGGGGTGGGAGCTAGAGCAGAGGGTCGAGCAGCCCTGGCAAAATGAGAAGTGACATGCATTTATAACAACAGCATGTGTAAGGTGCATGCTGTACACAACATTTTGAGAGCCACAAACTCCCACTTTGTTACTTTGACCGGCAATTTAATTTTCCCTTAGTAAGGGATCATTTTGTGTTGAAAAAACACGATAAGGAAAATCAAATGCGATGTGTTTAATCTTATTCTTGGGGTCATTCCCGATTTAGATCTTGCTGCCTACTGAGATGAAAGAAAGCCACTCATGCAACCCAATCATTAGCCTTGGGTGCCCATCAATGATACAGTGAGTTAGGACAATAGCCTGATGTTCCTCCCTACTCCTTAAAGACATTTAATGAGCTTACATACGGAATGCACTCAGGCAAGAACTCTAGGGTAGAGGGCAGAGTGCATTTTACTAAAGACATCCCATCATAGCAGTTAATTCTTTTTCTCTCTGATGGTTATGAAATAGGCAGACTGGGGAGAGGAAGATAAGGTAAGAGTTTGCTACAGGCATAGGGAAGGGAGGAGTCTTTCATAGAGTATGTCCTCACTGCAGCATTTTCAAGCCTAAGTAATCCTGGGCTTACATTATATTGTAAACATATCCTAAATCACATTATTACTTGACAGAGGTTCCCAGCTGAGGCTTGTAAGCAGAGATAAGTGTCTAGCATGGCTTAGCCTTACAACATACTCTTATCCTTAATGTTTCTTATTGCCTAATATAGGCTGCTCCCTGCCTAGCATACTGGTTTTGTGGATCCCATTCTTAGGTCCCTTTCTTTACACATGCATTGTATAGGGAACCTCTGTATGTGTAGCCTCAGGTTAGGCGTTGTAGCTTAGATCCCAATCTGGAGCTGCAGCAGCTATAGTGCACCATGCAGGCCTGAGTCTAACCATCCATATCTTAGAGCATCTCCTAAAATATGGTCCTTCTAGCTAGCCCTTTGTGCATAGTGCAGTGTGTGAAAACTTGGCTGGCCACCAAACTTGACTATCTAGACTACAGAGGACCAATGAGTCAGCTCATGGGATACTTTTGGGGAACTGGCAGAGTATGAGTCCTAAGGGGCTGCATCTACACAGTGAAACAACAGAGCTGAACCTTGAGTCCTAGCTTGACTACACAGTAAAGAAAAACCCACAGGTTGCAGGGCTGTTTCACTGCAGCATAAGACTTCCCTGTTGAGCTAGAGCAGGGGTGAGGAACCTAAGGCCCGGGAGGCTGGATCATCCCCGGGCTTGCCTGGATCTGGTCCCTGGGGTTCAGGGCTTCCCCCCACCACCCAGCATTGAGTCCATGCTGGTACTCCAGCCTACTGCTGTCCCCTCGCAGGGCTGGGGCACACAAAATTTACTAAGCAGCCCCCACCCCAGGCTCTGGTGTGTGAAAAAAACATGGAGAATGTTCTTCTCAAATGGAGGCCATATCAGTGAGGAGGGTTGGTTTAAAACATTTTTTTTTATTCTTTTGCTTCTCACTTCTGTGTGGCCCCTGACTGCTTTTTCTGTGGGTCAGGAGCCCCTGACCCAAAAAAGGTTCCCCACCCTGGGCTTGAGCATGGGCTATATACAGCACCATGTAAGGAGGGAGGGGCTCCAAATACATGCTACAACCTGAGCCCCCAAGTTTGATATGAGGTAGTCCTTATGCTTTAGAGCCATGGTGTCCAACCAGTAGCCACTATAGTGGCTGGGGGGTTGGGGAAACAGCCCCATTGTTCAAGACAACTAGTCATACTCACCAGCCAAATATCCACTTGTGGCTAGTGTGTTGGACACCACGGCTTTATCACTTTCAGTCTAAATAAACAGAAAGGGATCAAATTGGAATTAGATTCAGTGATTTGCCCTAACCTCACACAGCAAGTCAGTGGCAGAATCAGGACTAGAACCAAGATCATCTGAGTCCCCAGTCTTGTCCCCTACCCACTGCACCACTCTACTTTTCCCCCATTGTACCTGACTATAAAGAATGTTCATCATGAAAATGTATGCTCTCCCTCCCGCAAAAGAACATGCTATTATTTCATGAAATCCCAAATGATAGATGTGGTAATGACTTTTAGTGCCGTGCTCTAACACTGTCACCCAAAACCCCACCCTCATTTGCTGGAGGAGAAAGTAGTATTTTTTTCACATCAGTGGATTTTGCTGGTTATGTTTCTGTTCGTGGTGTATATTTTGCTGTATGTTACAAATTAATCTCTGGGAAGAAACATGCACAACTATAAAATGGTATTTTTCTATGAATTTTACAGTGTCTGGGCAGGGTGTTTGTGTCTTGAGAGGAGAGCAGTTTATGGTGAATATGGATGGGGTATTTGTGCATGTTCCTGTGCATCCTGAAAGGGAGGTATTTTAATGCAGAAGTGCTGAGAAGGGATATTTTGTGCTCATTGTGTGTATGAGTGCATCGTGAGGGGGTATATTTTGCTGCATGAAAGTGTGCATGCATACAAACAGGAGGATTTTTTTTCCTGTGCACACCTGCATGGAGGATGTGTGCATATATATTTGCATGCATGCTGAGAACATAGATTAACAACTAATTAGAACTTTTATACTAGATTTGGTAATTTCTGCTATCTAGTAAACTATATACATAAACTTAAGCAATTATTTCATTTGAGGTTTTCAGACTCTTATTGTCATTTTAGTATGCTAGAGTATGATGAATGATATATTGCTTATTTGCTAGATAATTAACTTTTTCCTCATGCCTTGTCAAGCTGCATTAGGGTAGCAACTGGAAATTAATTAAACAAAGGAAACAGCAACATTTATTTGTATTAAACAAAAGAAGCCCTTAATATAGGACATTATTTTGTCATATTTATAAAACTTGACCTCAAAGTTAGATGTTTTTCTTCTGATTCTTAATGAGGAAAAGCAGCCTTAAACTCAAAAGTGTTGATCAAGGTTCATGGGTTCTGAATATTTATTTGTTATTTAAATGTTTTAAGACAGGGGTGGGCAAAAGCCACTCAGCAGGCCGAATTCGGCCCATGTGGCTGTCCCAGGCCCTGTCCCCTATCATGTAGCCTGGGAGCCGGAGCCACGTGAGTCCTTTCAACTGCTTCTGTTTAAAGGGCTTGTGCCTTCCTTGTGCCTGTCAGGCAACGCGTTGCCTGGCAGCCATGAGGAAGGCTCAAGCCCTTTAAATACAAGCAGCTGAAAGGGCTCACACGGCTCCAGCTTCCAGGCAACAGGCTAGCGTGGGTCTGGAACTGTTAGCCCTTTCGATTGCTTCTATTGAAAGGGCTTGTGCCTGCTGGGTAGCTGCCAGGCAATGCAGCTGCCCATGGAGCCCTTTAAATAGAAGCAGTTACAACAGTTTGCAGCTCCCTGCCCCACTGCTAGCGTGAGCCCTTTCAACTGCTTCTATTTAAAGGGCTCACGTCTTCCCCACGCCTGTCAGGCAACGCACTGCCTGGCAGCCACAGGGAAGGCTCAAGCCCTTTAAACAGAAGCAATTGAAAGGGCTCGCAGTTTTGGTCCCATGCTTGCCTGTTGCCTGGGAGCCAGGGACATGCGAGCCCTTTCAATTGCTTCTATTTAAAAGGCTTGTGCCTTCCCAGAGGCTGTCAGGCAACAGGCCCAGGGAAGGCATGAGCCCTTTAAATAAAACAGTTGAAAGGGCTTGTGTCTCCCCGGCTTCCAGGCAACCCGCTAGCAGCGAGCCCTTTAAATAGCAGAAATTGAAAGGGTGTGCAGCTCCCGTCTCTGGCTAAAGTGATGCCTGGGAGCTGCAGGGGAGGCATGGGCCCTTTCATCTCCTGCTATTTAAAAGCTCTGCCCTGTTTGAGGCTCTACCCTTTTTTGAAGTGGTCCCTGCTCAAAAATGATTACCCACCCGTTTTAAGAGATTATAAGTTTAGGCTTTAGCTTATTTTGTACTAAATTTAGATATTTTGACAGGCTAATTTTGTAAAGAAACTCTTATTATGATGTAAACAATAAAAAAATCCAATTTCAATTACAAAATCTGATATTTTTAATCTATTTATATCCACCCAAGAGAAGATTTTTGGGAGTGATACTAAGAGAGATGCTGGGAGGGAGTATTTAAGAAGAGTGCTGGGAGGGAGGTGTATATATTTTGAAGAGGTATTTTAGGGTGCTGGTAGGAAGTCTTGCTGGTATGAAACATGGTGCTAGGAGGGGTGTGCGTGTACTGGGAAGAGGTCTAGGGATTGTTTGGGAGGTGCAAAAGGTCATTCTGTACTGGAAAGGCTATTGGGGGTGCTTCTAGAGGGTGGCTGTATTTGGAGGGTTACATGGGGGCTGCTGGAGGGGTGGGTGTATTGAAAGGAATGCATGGGGGCTGAGTACTGGAGGGGTGGGTGTGTATGGCAGGGATACCTGGGGGTGCAGGAGTAAGCATATTAGGCTATTGGGGTGTGTGGAGAGGTGAGTGAGCTATGGGGGGTACCTGGATGTGCAGAAGAGGTAAGTGCTGGGAGGTACGTGCTAGGGATGTTCAAATGTGTTTATTTTTGCAAACGATTATAGGCAGGGAGGCAGGCGGGAGCCGGTGCTCTGGGGAGTGTGCTGGGACGAGGTGTGGGGAGGGGGCACACGGGTG